GTCCCCAGGCCTTGGCTAGGGGCCCCTCCCGTCTTCAATGGCAGCATCTTCACCTCTCGCCATCACACTGCCTCCTCCTCCAACCCTTACTCTGCGGCCTCCCTCCTGTAGGGCCCTCGTGATTACAGTGCACCCACTCGGGATAACCTCCTGTCTCAAGATCCTTAATCGCATCAGCAAAATCCTCTCTGCCATGAAAGGAAACATGCTCACAGGTTCTGGAGATTACGATGTGGATGTCTTCGGGGAGGCCATCAATCTCTCTCCTCTGGGGAGGAAGGTGAGAATATGCACTTTCATTTGCTTGCATTCACATAAACACTGTTTCAATGCGTAAGAAATAAATGTGATTATCTGCGGGGGATGTAGGACATGGAGGCAAGGAATGGGAGCAAGGACTTTCTCCCCAAAGTTTACTTTTTACATTATTTTGAGCTTTGAGCCAGGCATATCTTACCTATCACACAATGTTAACCCTAAAAAATAAAGAGAATGAGACCCCTTTTAGTTATTTCTGGCTGTTGATCCGTTCTGCTTGAACACGACATGTCAGAGACTAAGACACTGGGAAATTTGGAGTCCTACAGGTTACAAGTATTAAGAGAAAAAGCATCTTAGTGGTGATGCAGGTACAGCAGGGGGAGAAACAGAATCTTGCCTGGGTATGAACAAAACAAGACAGGCACTACGTCACAGATGAGGGACTAAGGTCGACCTTTGAGGAAAAGTCAATGTTTCAGTTTTCATTAGTTGGGTTTTTAGTTAAAGTTCTAAAGATCTTCCCAATCTAAGTGCCCAGCAAAGGAAGAGGAGGTGAGATCCCATTCCTTTCTGCTTAATTAAAAAAAAAAAGTAATATATTGTGTCCACTAAATTGCATTGTATTTTCTTAAATGGAAGAAAGAGTTCAGAGCTCTTTGCTCTGAGCATGTGAGAGAATGTCAGACACTCTCAAACTAATGCTGATCATCAGCTCATTGCTGAACATTTAACTGTAACAGTAGAACAGGACAATTAAGATTTTGAGATTTAGCCTGCCTCATGACAGGGAAATCATGTGCATGCAGTTAAAGGAGCCTTTGCACACAGTCCAACACTATGTGTGGCACTGGGGGCATTACCCCCTTCCTTATGCCCCAAAAGAACTCCTCTGTCCCCTCATCCTATCTTCCTGCCTGAACTCCAGTGGAGACTCCCAGGCAAAAGTGTCTGCAAGGATCATTTTGTTTATGGCCCATCACTTATCACTTTTCCATTCTTTATGTTCGACTCCTCAGGCGACCCTGATCACACAGGTCCCACATGCCAGCTGACTCTGGCTACTTCTAGCATAGGGCAAACAGTTCTAAGTGTGAGCCTGCTTTTCATCTTCATTTGCCAGTTTGTGATTATTGTTACAGCTGGGGCAATCTGGCCTTTTTGGTGCCATTTCTTACACACATGTTTTGCCAGGCCCTACAGCTTGAAGGAGCATTGGGAAGGGCATCACAAAGATAAATCAAAACGTGGTCTCTGGCCTCAAGTAATAGCAAAGTAGAGACGACCAATATGCAAATACCTAGAAATGCCTTAAGTGCCATAACAAAGGTATGAATAAAGACCTGAGGAGAGACACGTGCAAAAGCAATTAATTCTTCCTGACAGAGTCACAGAAAGCAAACAAGAAATGATGTTTAAGTTGGGCTTTCTAGGAGAGATGAGAGCTTGCAAATTAGACAGGGAATGGCAACCCAACCTAAGCCATAGGAAGAGTATGAGGAATGCAGGTGCACAATCTGAATGGACATCCAGTGTGTCAAGATGGGGGCATCTTTTCTGTCTGGAGGAGGAGTGCCCAGGCAGGAAAGACAGGGCTAGGTTATGAAAGGCCTGGGTGGTAATGCGGACTGTGGAGGTTCTTCTATAGGCAATTGGAGTTTTCTAGAAAGGTGTGTGCCCAGATTAAACTTGTGTTAGGAACATAATTCCAAGGAACTGTGGAGCCCTTTGTGAGTTTAGTAGGCTTTAATGTCAATTTGGGAAGGTTCAGGGGAGGGACCACATCATACAGTGCACAACCTATGCTCCAGTTAAGGCTGCCTGGTCTCTCTACCCTGCCCATCTCAGCCCCAGAAGTTCCAAATTCTTATCCCTCCATTATGCAGGGCAGCTTCTCTGCTTCTCAAGTCTTGGCCCCAGCCAGCACTCAAGCCTGCAGGGGACTGACTTCTATGTTAAATAATCACCAAAGCATTTTTTTAAATAAAGGCAGTTATCTTGCTAGGAGAAATTCTGGTACCAGCTGTTAAAGGTAATATACATTTCTTTATGTCATCACACACATATGAGTCATCTATAAATATCAGCAACATTCTAAATATTTTACACATAATGGAAATTATCTGTGAAACAGAATTGTGCTTGAGAAGTGCAATGCAGTATTCCCAAGGTCATTTTAGCATTTCAACATCCAAGGTAAAATAACTACAGGACACATCATTAAACTTGTTTTAAAAAAGGTTTATTTGTTACAAAATGTTAAATACTAAAGCTAAAAACATATAAATTCAGGTCAGGCTATATTAAAATACACACATAACCTTCTTTGCAAAATTATTAAAGGTTGAATTAAACAGATGCTTTAAATAAAATAAAGTACTCTTTGAAGACATTTTTGTCTAATTAACTATATCAGTGTAGTGTAGTTTTCAAAATTATAGTTGAAAAGTTCAGCTGTCTTGGAAATCAAATTCATCCAATTCTTCAGTCTTCTGGTACTACCCAATATGAAACTACTACGCAGGCTTGGACAGGGTTAATTTCAGTTATGTTACTGAACATTCTATATTACAAACCTAGTCCACTATAATATGAACATGGAGCAGTCAGAAGTGTACAAAGGGTTAAATAGGGTGAAAACCTGGCCCAGAAAGAAAAGGGCTTAGTTCTACTGTACAGTATCTTCTCTAATTAAAATGGTAAATATATTGAAGCAGAGATCAGCACAAAGCATACACCCATCTAGAAATAATCTTTCAATTAAAAACAAAAACCTCAAAACCAGCACTCATTTCTCCAAGATAGTTTATAAGTACTTTAAAATTTCTTATGATTTTAAATTGAGTTAATTTAAAGGTATTGAAGAGTCAGTCTATATCCAAATGGATTTAAACACTAATTTGATTACTGTTCTGACTAGCTCTGGAGAGCTGTGACATTTGGGTGTTTGAGTTACTCGTACAGATGGTAAAGAACTTTCATCATAAAAACTACATGCTCTATACCAACTGAACACCAGCTTCCCACTCCAACCCCCACTCAGGTCAAACATCCTAAAAGAACTATCTATAGTCTATTTAAGCATTAAATAGTATTTTCAAGAAAATATTTTGCTCTGCAACTTACATTTTTCAATTTTCTAGATCAAGTTACTGATTTAGAATTTTCAATGCTGAATTCATATGGGGTGAGAATATGCTTATGAAGAAAAAAAGGCTATTACTGTATTTTAAAACTTAAACGTAAATGAATTTCTAGAGATTTACTACAGTATCTATTCTTTATAATGCTAATCCTTGTCAAATGGTTGCCAATAATTAAGTGATTAAAAATACAAAAAAACATACAATGCATTCCAGTAATCTTCATTGACACAGTCCAATTAAAATCAGGTTTCTTGGAATATATCTATAGGGAATTTTTACTATTTTACTCTGACAGTGTTGGTATACATACAAGAGCTAACTGTTTGGGATCCTAATACTATGATATAAAACTGATCAAACCTTTGAAAAGTTGGAAAAACTAAAAACTATGTGTATTCTAAAGTCACTGGAAATTAAAAGGAAAATATATTCCAATACTGAATTAGAGATGAAAACGCTGCTAACCATAAATGGTAATCTGTTTTTCCATCTCTAGGCTTGTGAGCTTCTGATGTAATGATTTCTCTATACACGTGATACAGGAGAAACTCCAATTCTGTCCTCTATCCTGGTCCATTCTCTCTACATGTAACTGGTCTTTCATTTAAATCATTTCTTTTAACTTACTGGGTCATCTTGAGGACAAGATTCGTGCTACTCCTCATCAAACGGTCTTGAGGTCCTTGAAAACAATTCAAACAATTTAAGACACTGGCATTCTAATGTTAGTAAATACTCTTAAAAAAAAGTCTCGAGGCTTCCATAGCAAATTCTCTAGAGGAGGTCTTTTCCTATGAGTATCTTTATAAATGTGTATTAAATTCAGGCTGGTCAGTTACTCTTACCACTATCCTGCTCTTACAGAATGATCAAGAAAGTATTTGTTCATCTGTGATAGAGCCAGGCTGTGAGTGTTTTAAAGCATTTTTTCCCTTGCTAGCCACTAGCCCAGGTGGCACCCACTAGCCCTGGGTGACACAGACCTCCCCAAAGGTGGGGATCTCCATATGCGCTCTTCCCTCCACCCTTTACATTCTAGGGTGGGCCTCCTTCTCTTCCCTTGGTACCAGTGCCTCTTTCAGCTTTCAGAGAGAAAGCTGTTTGAGCAAGAAAATGTAGTATATTTCCTGCCAGGAAATGTACACAATTTGGGGGGCTTAGTGCAAAGTGAAAACAGGGGCCCTTCTTCAAACATTATTAAGAATTTCAAGACAGTGATAGCAGAGCCTTGAATCAAGTGCAGGGCCTTTCTAAGCGTGGGGCCCTGTGGGCCTACAGAAGTTACATGCTGAGATAGCCCACTCTGTTTAGGTTTCCTGCCTCATCAGAATCCCGGAAGGAGACAAGGTAGCTCCATTGGGTTGTCCAGATGAAAATCAGGACTTTTTTCATAATGATTCAAACATTGTCACAATTGGGAACAAAGTGGCATTTCACTTTCAAAACCCCAGGTAAATCTCTATTCCTAAAATGTCATCTTGGACTGATTACTCACTACAGAAATAGTTATACAGGGACTTTAAATGCCCCTTATTTTAAAGCGCAATTAATCAGACATGATGAAATTTCTGTATTAATCCTATATGACTTTTTTAAAATTTAAGCATCTTAACTGGGAAGGGTCTTAATATCACTAAAGTAACAGGATATCTTAAAGGGAAAATGTAGCTGTACAACAGCTTTATATTCTAGGGTGAAGCCTTACTTTTTAGTCTATGGTATATTCTGTTCCCTTTTAGGACCACAATAGCAGTTTTTTCAAAGAGAACTAATGAACATATTAAGCTGTATGGTAATTTTTTTTGTTTTTTCAGAGCCCATATTGGTTTCGGTCATAAGAATTTTACTGGAACCCAGAGGTATACCATTCTTCATCATAATAAAAAAATGTCATGTATATAAAAGCTCCAGGTTACATTACTAAGCAACGACATTTCCGGGAGTGAATATACTTCCTGTATTCTGCAAGCTGCTTCAAGTACATATTCGACGGCCATCTGTGCTTTTCAACAAAACTGCGTTCTTCCACTGAAATTTTAAGAAAAAGAATGTTAACTGAATATATTTTATTTTGGATCCAGTTAAGATATTAACTACTAATCTCCTATTTAAAAGATGAGATCCACACTCTGCTATATATCCCCTACCCTTCCCTCAAGCCTTCCAAAATCGTTTAATAACATTTAACATCTTGTTTAAAACAATCATCAGGATACAAGTTATTATATGATGTACAATTATGTACATCTTGTCTACCACTTCATCAAGTAGTATTTGATTATTTTCCTTTTCTCTTTCAATAAAACTTTTGTTTTTCCTGGAGATAAGTGACTCACTTTCTCCACTTAGTTCGTTTTCTTTGTACGTAACTCAATTTTCCAAACTCTTTAAAGTCCTCTCAATTCTGTTTCCCATTCAGCCAGTCATCAGATAATCTATCCATTCCTGCTTTTGCTGCTGCTGCTGCTGCCCAGGGGCCTGCACCCTCATCAGTGCTCACTAGACCTGTTTCCTGCTTTAGTATTGGATCTCTCCATTCCTGAACCCTAGGTCCTTCATTTTCTTTATTCTCTAGTTTTGGCAAAGCACTGCCTTTATTAGCTTCCTGAAAAGGGGGCATCTAAGAAGTATAATATTTTTGAGACTTTTTTTTTTTTTTTTGGTAGAAATGGGTTCTTGCCATGTTGTCCAGGCTGGTCTCAAACTCCTACCCTTGTGTGTGATGAAATGTCTTTAGTCTGTCCTCAAACATGATTGATAATTTGGTTTGGTATATAAATCTAAGATGAAAACTCTCCTCTGGATGTTGAAGACAGTACTCCATTGCTTTCCGTAATAGTTCCCAAAGTTGTTAAGAACTCCACTGCCATTCAGATTCTTAGTCCTTGGTAGGTGATCTACGTTTTTTTCAAATTCTGGAAACTTCTAGATTTTTCTATTTATACTCAATGTTCTTACATGTACCAATGGTGTACACTGTACATTCACTAAGCAGAGCACTTAGCAAATCCTCCCAATTTGTTGACTTGGGTCCTTTAGTACTGGGATAACTTCTGTATTATTTCTTCGATAATTTCTTACCTATTGTTTTTCTTTTTCTGTATGAACTTCTATTAGTCTGATACTGCACCTCCTAGACTAAGTCTCCAATTATTTTTATTGATTGATTGATTGATTGAGACAGGGTCTCGCTCTGCCTCCCTCACTGGAGTACAGTAGAGTCAGCACCACTCACAGCAACCAACTTCAAACTCCTGGGCTAAAGCTATTCTCCCTGTGTTAGCCTCCAGAGTAGCTAGGACTATAGGTGTGTGCCACCACGCCTAGCTAATTTTTTTTTTTTGGTAGAGATGGGTTCTTGCCATGTTGTTCAGGCTGGTCTCGAACTTCTGGCCTCAAGCAATCCTCCCACCTCAGCCTCCCAAAGTGCTATCTATGATTACAGATGTGAGCCACTGTGCCCGGCTCAATTATTTTTAAAAATCTCTCCTGTCTTTTTACCTTTTTGTCCTGCTTTCTTGGAGATTTTCTTATCTTTACCTTTTCCTATTTATTTAGTTTTTTTAACTATCATATTTTTAATTTCCAAGAACTTTTTGTCCTTTTATTGTTTTTAATTGTAACAAAATACACATAACATAAAACTTACCATCTTAACCAATTTTAAATGTACAGTTCAATAGTGTTAAGCACAGTCACACTGTTACACAACTAACCTCCAAAACTCTTTTCAACTTGTAAAACTCTACCCATCAAACAGCTCCCTACTTCCCCCGGTCGCTGGCAATCATCGTTCTACTTTCGTCTCTGTGAATATTATTTCTTTTTAACGATGTTTCAGTCCTACGTAGAACATTATTAAAATCCTACAAATAATATCTCTTACTCTTTAAGGATCTTCGAGGATATTAATTTCAAGGTTTTTTTTTTTTGTAGGTTTTCGTCTATTCCTGTGTCTCTCTATTCCTCTAAGTTCCTTCTCTTCTATTTTTATTTATTTCGTTTCATTTTTGTTACCTATCTTTCATGTCAGAGATTGCTTCAAATATCTGTTGATCCTCAGCAATCTCTATATCTAAGAGAGAGACATTGAAAAGCTCTCTGGAAACCTTTCAGGCACGGCAGGACTTGCTGACTGGTGGGACGCACCACAGCATGACTGAGCACGATCTGCTAGATTCACTGAGAGATCCCCAGTGATGGCACCTGTACGTTTGTTCTCTGAGGACAGAGAAGGGTGCTCCAGTTTCACGCCCAGGTATGGGAATCAAGGTGGCAAGTACCTAACTGCCAGCGCTCTAGATCTGATACGGAAAGGAGGCTGACGCTTCACTAAACAGTGTGTGCTTTCACATAACCCCCAAGTGTCAGTCCAGCTCCTCACCCCTGATCTCAGTTATACCTGGAGGAGTTCATGGTTCTGTAACTTTTTTGGTTTAATTTCTCCAGAAATAAACTTCCCATCTCCTATGAAGATGCAGAAGCAGCTGCCTGCCTGGGTGGAGCGGGTGGGGCAAAATCTTCTTAATTAACATTCAACTGATTGTACTGCTTTCGGCCCCACACCCCATTCTGGTTTCTGCAACACCAGGTGCCAGGTATTTCTAAGGTTCTTCAGGATTTTCCTGGGTGAATCAGCTTGTTTTTCATCAACATCCCCTTCTGTAGGCACTTAGGTTTCCCTCTGCTAAGTCAGTTTCCACTTCTCCATCTACTGTTCAACCTCATCTATTATAATTTGGATTAACAAGGTCTTGATCCAGGCTGCAGGACCTGGATAAAAAGAAACACACTAGCTGCTC